AAAGGCAGGGGGACGGCGGGGGGATGGGAGGGCCGGGGCTGCCCTGACCCTGCCATGCTCCTCTCGTCCCTCCCAGTCCTCTTCCACATGTACGACTCAGACCATGATGGGAAGATCACGCTGCAGGAGTACAGAAATGTAACGTATGGTCCCTCCTGCCCCATCATCACCGAATTCCCGGCCCTGGCTTTGACCTGCTGCCTTGTAGGTGGTGGAGGAGCTGCTGTCGGGGAACCCCCACCTGGAGAAAGAGTCAGCACGGTCCATCGCCGATGGGGCCATGATGGAGGCAGCCAGCATCTGTGTGGGACAAATGGTGGGAGCCGGTTCCTTGCTCTACCGTGATACAGAGGCGCTGTGATGGTATCAAAAATACGCTGGGGCTGGAAGGTGTCCATCCTGCCCAGGGCATCTCCCCTGTCCCCGGGCTGCTTTGGCCAGAGAAAGGTTTTTTGCAGGCAGCACCTTTCAGGTTTTTTGTTTTGGTTTTTTTTCCCCATGGGAGACAAGCAAACAGCACCCCATAAAGCACCATCCTTGGTGTTTGGGGCTTTAGTGCTTTTAGAAAAGGCAGCTCCTTGTAGCCATGGTGGTTCTGGGAACCAACTTTGGGCTGGCCATGGGGCACGGTGCGGGGCCAGCGCTGTGCACCCATGTGAGATGTACCCCATAGCTCTGGGGGACCCACCCCCTGGTAACCCAGTGCCCCCAGGCCCCTGCCCCGTTGGCTTGGGGCAGCCGTAATGTTTTCTTTCTCGCTGCGCCCAGGGGCCGGACCAGGTGTATGAGGGCATCACCTTCGAAGACTTCCTTAAGGTTGGTGGCATCTCTGCTCATCTCGCCAGGAGGAGGGCGCCGGGCGGTGGCAGGGGCCTGGGCACCGAGCTGAGCCCCCGGCCCGGCCCCACTCACCCCCTTCCCCTTGCAGATGTGGCAGGGGATCGACATTGAAACCAAGATGCACGTCCGTTTCCTCAACATGGAGACCATTGCACACTGCTACTGACCTCCTGCGAGCCGGAGGACGAGGAAGAGGAGGAGGAAGAGGACTCTGCAGCAGCTCCATGTTCCTGGCACCAAGCGCTTTGTACTCGCTCGCGTGCCTGTCCCGTAGTGGGGCTGCCTTCTGCTCTCTAGAAACATGAGGCTTTTATCTGTAATAAAAGGTATTTCTCTTTTTACTCCTTGCTGAGAAATACTCCGCCCGTCCATCACCCAGGGCCTGGCAGGGGCTCTCCCTGTGCAGAAAGCTTCCACACATCCTGGTCTCCCTTTAAACCTGAATTTTTAGCCTCTGACAGGTGCTGCCCTGGGGAAGGAGCTGCCCCCGTTGTGCTGCGAGCCCCTCGTATGCAGGCAGGGATGGGGATGCTGAGGGGCAGGAGGTGAAGGCAGCGTCCTCAGCACCTGGAAGGGCAACCACATCCCTCCCTGCATCCCAGGAGATGCTCAAGGCAGTGAAGGTGGCAGCAGCACAAGAAATAACACCAAATCAAACCCAAACCAGCCACCTTGGCTGTGTCTGTCGGCCAGAGGGGCAGCATGGGACCATGCTGAGGCTGGCAGCAGGGATGCAGGGACATGGGGATGTGGGCTCCTGGCAGCCGGGTGGCTCCCACCCCCACATGTTCCCAGTAGAACAAGGCACCGGAGATAAGGGTTTGTTTACTGGTATTAATAACTGGATGGCTCGAGGCGGATTTCTGTCTCTAAGGCAGCCTGAGCTGGGAAGGGAGGGGGAGTAAAAAGGGCAATGGCTATTTTTAGAAAAGCTGGAAAGATTTGTTTGTTTTATCAAAAATAGCTTCCCCCAGTGACATGTAGGCTCAATGGTAAGAGCCCCCACCGCAGCAAGCAGCACAAGTGCAGGCTGCGGGGAGCGACGGATGCCACAGCCCTGGCGCCAGCTCCCTCCATCCCCCAAGTGCCCGCCGTCGCCCCAGCTCAGGGCACGGAAGATTTCTCCTTCTGCTCTGCGCTAGTGGGGGGGTTCCACACTGCCCAGGCATCCCCGTGCTGAGGGCACAGGTAAGGGCTCCCCCTTGCAGCCTTGCCCCTCCAAAACACCCCGTCTTGCCCATCGCTGTGGGGTGTGCAGCCAAGAGGAGGCCCCTACTCTCTGTTGGCGGCTGCTGGACCACGGCCCCTGCGCCGGAGCAGCTCCTCAGCGCCAGCAGCCAGGGAGCAGCCGTGCTAACCCAGCAGAGGACAGCCCTTCCCTGCAATGCAGTCCTGTCCTGGAGAGACCTGCGCTGCTCAGCGGTTCTGAGGATGTGCTGGGGCCGACCCGGCTTTGCAGGCAGCCGCAGGGATGGAGCTGATCCCACCTCACAGCTCCACGCTGGCGGGTGCCACCACTCGGAGGCTGGACGTGCCGTGAAGCTGGGGGCCAGCACTGCCACCACCCACAGCGTGGGCTGGGCTGTTGTGGTGCTGGCACGCGGTGCTCAACCTGGGCTGGGTGGCAAGAGCCGGGGTTGGTGCCAGTGCTGTGGGCAGGGCTGAGCGCCGGGGCTGGGCAGGGGATGGTGGCGATGGAGCTCCTAGGTCTTCCCGTACAGCCCTTCAGACCCTGAGGGGCTCCTGGTGCTGCCCCATGGCAGCCACAGCCTTGTCTGCATTCGCAGGGCTCTGGCTGTCTTCAGTCCTGTTCTCCTCTTGCTCCTCTGGACACCTCCACCATCCGGGCTCGTCGCCGTCTGTGTTGCATTGGCGCCATCCTGACCTCCCGGCTGAGACTGAACCTCCTCCTCCTCCTGAACCTCCTCCTTCTCCTCTTCATCCCTGTGCCACCCTGTGCGCCCTTCCCTCCCCACATATGCAAGAGCGCAACATCCAACTTCTCCCCAAACCCCGGGTTTCAGGAGCAGCCGCAGGCTCCTTCCCTCCTCTTCTCACAGGAATTGCCATACAGATGCTGCAGACCCGTCCCGCTCCACGCTGCCGGCCTCACCCTGCTCCCAGCAGTAGTCGTGGGTGCCTAAAAGGCCCTTTCCCACCCGAGAATCACCCAATGGGGCCGCCCCTCCCCAGCCAAGCCCTTGCCCCTGCTGCAGGGGGTTGGCATAAGATCATGGCCCCGCTCCCCCTCCATCCTGTGGTTTTCTTGGAGGAGACATCAGTGCTTCTCGGAGCCCACAAGGGCTGGATGCGCCACACAGTGCAGGGAAATAGAGGGCAGGAGGCCTGACGAGTATCGATAAGAGGATAATTATTATTCCTTGAGCTAATTAGCTGTCCTCCAGCTATTTTGTTAGGCAACGAGGAAAGCATGGGCTCGGGGGCTGCGGGGAAGCAGGGGACCCAAAGCAAACCGGCTTTTGCTTGTGCTTGTCTTGTCTGCGGGGAACGGGATGAAGGTGGGAGCGGGAGGGAGGGCTGCACGGGGCAGACGAAAGGGAGTGTGGAACGTGAGAGAGCGGGGAAGAAAAGCCCGACCCTCACCCCAGCAAACGGTTCCTCCGGGTGGGCAGGAGCGTTGCTCCCAGGGCCAGCAGAAAGCCAGGGCTGTGTAATGCAATGTTGATGATAGGCACAGCAAAACCCAGCGAGGGGGAAGATAATAATTCCGTAAAGGGCAGGAAAAACTGGCAGCGCACCGGGAAATTCGGCAAGGGCACCATTTCTGTTGCAGACCACGGCAAAATCCTGCAAAGCCCAGAGCATTCGGTAAAGGATAATAGTTCAGTTACGGGGCACAGCAAGAGCTGCCAAGCTGCTGCGACCCGTGATGTGGCACGCAGCTCCGTTGCAGATCCCAGCGGTGTCAGCAGAGGGTAATTGGAAAATTGAAGCAGCTTTGCCGCATGTCAGAAAACTCAGGGAAGGCTGTTGAAGGCTGAGGAGCTTAGTGGAGAGAGTGGTGGCTCGTGGTTCTGAAAGAGCAGGACCGAGCGAGCTGCATGACGGCAGAGCAGATGCCCAAGGCAGGGTTGGTTGGATTTTTTTGGCATAGAGGGAACAGTTTGCTCAAGCTCCCCACCAGTGACACCCATCTCACCATCCCCAACCATCTCTCAGCCACAGCGGAGCTTGGGAAAGGCAGGAGAGACTGAAATGGCAGCGGGGGATGCCTGCCTGGGAAGGACGGGAGGCACAGGAGAACCAGAGGGCAGTTCAGGAAGAGGCAGCAATGGAGCCTTCCATGAAGATGCATTTGGCCCAGAGGCTAAAGGTCCACATTTCTGGCCAGGAATCTGCCAATGGCACAAATCCTGATCTGGAAACAGGTGCTGTCCCCAGTAGTTTCTACTGCTTAATCCATTGGTTCTTACGAAGGCTCCAACCACCGTGGCCTCATCTGCCCCTTCAGCAGCAGGGAGCAGTCTCAGGGCTACAAGCAACTGGTAGGGACTGTGAGAGCACCACCACTGGGCAAAATGTAGCTGAAGGCTTTAGGACCATCCATGGAAGGGGGAACTGAGTGGCCAAATGTCACTGAAGGCTTTAGGACCATCCATGGAAGGGGGAACCGAGTGGAAGAAAAGAGGGGTCAGAAGGAGCATTAAGTTGGTTTTTTTTTTGCACTGTGGTGGCTCATCGATACTACGTGCTCATCCCTCTCTGACAGCAACCCGGCCAGGGAATGCGAGAGGAACCTTCCCCTCTGGACAGGGGCATGGAAGCAGGGGCTGAGAGCAGGAAAGGCTGCAGGGTGGGAGGGGAAGGAGCTGCTCTGCAGAGCCGACAGAAGGGGAGAGGAGTCAGAGCCCCCCCCCCAGCCCCTCTCTGCACCAAGAGCACCCGCTGTTCCTCCTGTGGCTGCTCCTCAGCATCGAGAGAGGGACAGCAGACCACAAAATGCTGGAATTGCTCTTCCTCCACTGCCAAGGTGGCCAAGGACACAAAACAGAGGTAAAAGGCACTTCTGTGGGGCCTTTCCTGGTGGATTGGACCCAAAATACATGGAGGGCCAGCTGGGGTTTTTCCATGACAGCTGAGTGTGTCCTACCACGTCCTTTGCATCAAGACTGTTTTGCTATGCACCACACATCGCTTTTCACTGAAGTCAGAGCTCCAGAGCCTGGCAGGAGCTGGAGGCTGGGATACAGAGGCAGCCTCCCCCTTTGATCATATATTCCCTTTGGAGCATCGTAGGGAAGAAACTTAGGTCCAGGGATCCTCCTCACGAAGACAACAGTCACCTCTTCTTTGCCAAGAATCACTGTCATAACAACAGAAGGCAGAAGTCGTTCTTGAGGCTCTGTGCTGATTCTTTAGCTGTCCCCAGCTACCCAGCCCGGCTGATGGTCAGCAGCCCAGCCCATTGCACCATGCTCTCACACAGCAGGAGCCTTCACCTCCAGCCCAACCTCTGCCTGGGCGCTCCATAGCACTGGGCCAACACCTCCTGACTCCTCAACTCCCCTGCCATCAGCCCCGGCCACCACCCAACAGATGATGCCCCCTTCTTGTGTGGCAACTTCTGGGATACAACGGGGATCTGCTGAGACAAGAGTCCACCTTCACCCCTACCTACCACTCACTGGGAGCGCTAACAAGTCCTAGGTGGGAAATTCAAAGGTGGCATCTATCTCTGGTAAAGGCTGGATGGTGACTCCAGTCTTGCTCTTGAGTTATTAGGGAAGAGGCTCCATTTAAATGTCACCTAACCCTGGTGAAGATGTAAACACTCACGGTTGCATTTGCTACACTCCAGCACCCACTTCAGCACAGCATTAATGACTACCCAGGGAAGTAGGACAACATCCCTTTTCAGAAACAAAAATTAAACTCCCAACATGGCTACTGTCCAACAGCCTAAGTGCCCTCATTTGCATTATGAATGCTAGTTAAATACACACGCAATCTTCTGCTGTGGTACAACCTTCCTAAATGAATTCCGGCGATAGGAAAAACAAACAGGACCACCCTCCAATCTGCCCGGAGGAGCTGCATCCAGACTGTGGGCCAACAAAATGGTGGCTGCGGGGACAGGGAGTTTCTTTCTCCACTGGAGGTGATGCCCTCTCGTATCTGGATGGGCTGATGCTTGGTCCCCAGTGAGTTGATGGCTTGCAGGTCGTCTCTGCATAAGAAAGCAAACACCTCTACAAATGCAGGTGCTGGAAAGCGTCCGTTTTCTAGCAGCTCAGTGGCTACCATGGTCAAGGCGCAGCACGGAGGCAGCCGTGCCAGAGGCAGCGCAGAGAGGGGAAGCACGGAGATGGGCTGCAGGAAAAGGGCTCGACCCATGCGGGCACAAGACAAACTTATCTGCTACTTGCAGCAGGGAGATGAAGAAAGAACAAAGCTGTCCTGAGATAATGAGGGAAGATAAGGAGAGTCAAAGTCAGAACAAGCCACGGGTGTACGAAATGAGACAGGGAAGCAGGTCACCGCATGGAGGGAAGAGGACAGTGACGGGGGAAGCTCCTTCTATTCAGCCACAACAGAAGACTCAGGGCTGGAGCAACCCACAAAATCATTTGTGCTACAGAAACTATTATTTATTTGACAGGTTTCAGCTGAGCTCTCGCCCAAACTACGTATCCATCACACTTCTTGCACTTCCAGGAATGAAAGAAGGGAGCCAGCTTCCCAGAAGGGCAGAGGAAGGAAAAAAAAAAACCAGAACCAAAGCTTTATGAAAGATAAAACATATTGGTCAGACAGAATGACTTCTCCCCTTGCACTTCTTCTATCAGTCCATCATGAGGAAGCAGCTAACTGTTAAAAACCACACACACACGTGGAAGCTGGCCTAGGGGTCAGTCATGGAAAACCACCCCAAGCCAAAGGCAATGAAGAGCTGTGAAATAGGTCTCTCCAGGCAGGAGGAGGGCAGCCCAAAGCTCTCCAGGGGCTGTGCCAGGGACCAGTTTGGGATTGAAGTGACAGCCCAGCCAGCCCCTCTCCTGCAGGTTCGGGCACGGTTCCTGCACCCCTCCCCAGCACTGAACTTCTAAACTGATTCAATTAAGCCAGCAAAAACATGTTAAGTTAAAACTTAACCTCAACTTAAACTTAGCTTACATGGCTTTGGCTTGCACCAGGAAGTTTACAAGGGCAAATCACAACCATAGAATAGTTTTGAAACAGTAAAACATATCCATGCAGGACTCGAGCTCTCGTTCACCAAATTGGTTCTACCTACGTCAGTGCAACTCGGGTTTAAGATTAACCCTCACTCCTCATTTTCCCCTGAGGTACCACATCTTACTCGTCAGTCTGGATGCTTCTCCACAGCATTAGTGCTAATTACCCATGCCGAGGGATTGCGGCCAGTTCATCCCTTCTGTTTCATTACACCAATGTGATCAATTCCCAGCGCAGAAGCAAGGGCAGTGTCAGAAACCCAGGTCCCAGCCACCTGGGGAAAATCTGCCAGTGCTGTAGAAGGGCATGATCTAGCAAAGAACGTACCTGACAACTAACCCGAGACATGACAGCCTGTGCTCCAGCACACAGGGGTTAGTTCACCCTAAAAGACTTACAAACAAAAAACCCCCACACATATGCACATTCACAATTAGAAAACATTTAATCCAGAATTTTAGACTTAAAAAAATAATTAATTTTAAAATAATTTTGATGTCTGTAGCCTGCTGAGTTTGCAAGCATCCAGCCTGGCCAAGGCCAACCTTCCCCTCCCTCTCTCCACCATACCCCACTCTCCCAACCACCGTAACCTTTTGTGCATGTTCCTGTTCCTAGACACATTCCGATGCACTCCAAGGAAAAGAAGAATGAGCAGCTCACTACAAGGGAAGAAGTTTCAAACATGTGCCTTGGCAAGATGCTTTTTCCAAGTTCTTGGTGGTTTCCCTCCCCCCACTGCCCCCAGCGCGCTCCCTGCCTCCCAACCACTTCAGCAGTTTGCCACTCGGGGCTCTCGCTTCTTGACCATGTCCTTCTGCCAAGATGGGATCAGCAGTGTTTTTCCCGCAAGCAGCAGGAAAGAACATTTTTGTTTACACTGAAGTGTACTGTTCCCCTTTACTCTTCAGTCTCTCCGTTCTACCACAGTGGGCCTTTGAACACTTGCGCAGCAACATATTTTAGTGATATGCTCGAGGGCAGCCATACTCTCTGTTCCGGTTCATATCCCCAAGTTTTCAGCAAATGCTCAGCCCATTTGATGTGCCTGCAGCCAACGCCGTCTTTTTGGCACGTGTCCCACGCGGATCTCCTATTTGCCTTTGGCCATGTACTTGGCAGAGGGCTGGACCACAGAAGCCAAGTAAAGTGAGTTACCTAAATGTTATCATAGGGAACTGCAAGGCCAATGTTGTAGTTGTAACCAGTCACTTCATCGTAGGAAGAACGGCAAATAGGAAGGACGCTTTCTACAGCCAACTGGTCCACTGAGAACTCGTAGGCATAAATGATTCCTCGATGCCTGTACGAAACACAACCAGGACACACCGTTTTACCTTTATTATACATTTCAACAGGGGAAACAAAGTTAGAAATTGCCATAAAGGATTAAAATCTGATGCTTCTGAAGCTGAATATAAAAAACCCCATCCCTTTATGCACTAGGGCTGTCTGTGCAGTATTAACAGAGAAAACTCCCTCCTGCCTCCTTCCAGGGACCCCACCAAGCCCTGGCAATGAGCGGTGAGTCATTCACGTTAGCACTGCAGAGACGTGACTGTCATCTGCTGAAACATTTCTAATCTATTCAGGAAGGGGGAAGATAAGTACATTGTAGTTTGATAGTTCAATTAGACATGCTAACAGCCATCTGAGATGCAAATACCAAAACCTGGAGTTTAAATACCAGTAGTTTTCCTTTAGGAGGACGTATCATTACTAATATCTAGAGCAAGGAAAGGGCTGCATTCCCCATCTGGCTTCAGTGGCCTTTACATTCCCCTGCTGAAAAAGAAATGCATTTTTTTTGGTGCTCTGAAGTAAATAAAGAGACAATTCATCAATGGTTTTGAAAGCCTTATCTTTAAACTTTTTTTTATTTTTATTTTTTTAGATGCTATACCTTCTCTATTACTGCTCTGGATCATAACTCAAGTGCTTAGTGTGCCATTCTAAAATATATAATAAAGCAGATCTTCGGTCTGCCAAAACCCCTACCCTTCAGAGCTGGCTTACTCACTTGCGGTGCATGGTAAGGTCATCGTCCATGATGCTGGCGCCTCGGGGAGTTTTCTCATCGGGGATGTTTGCAGTGATGAGGCTATGAGAATTAAACCATACATGGCGGACTGGATGTCTGAAAAATAAAACCCACAGCACTGGGTGAGATGCCACCTGCATTAGACTCCTAAAGTCCAAGTGGAGTGAAAGAATTGCTCTGGACTGAACAAAAATTCATTTAAATCTATGGCCAGAGGCTGGGAACCTGCACCTTTGGCTCTTCTCCTCCTGTCTGGAGCAGATAAACACAGCTCTTATCCCCATCTAGTGGGCTGTTACCAGAACATACGTGGAGGCCAGAAATATTTCAGACGCTAGGCAGCACACAGGCTGCAAGGGATCCGGGCTGCCAGCTTGCTTTGCTGCTTTAAGGACCGCAGCAGCACACTCCTGGGAAGAGCAGGATGCTTCCCAAAATGAAGGATGGGGACACCCAGGACCCCCACACCCCCAAGCACTGAGCTGTGGCTGATTTAGAACTGCTGGCACAAGCTAAGAGGTCTGGTCTTCATTTGTTTTCCTCTCACTGGTGAATAAACTAACCCCAAAGCTTTTACTGTCCAAGCAGGAGTAACCCATCTTCTCAGATTAAGATGCCTCATCTCCATGACCCTAACGTGTCTCCTGTCATCTCCCTTTGCTTCTGCCCTTGCTTTCTGTTCATGACGCTGGGCTGTAGGCACACACACACCTCCTTATCTATGAAGGCCTTTTTGATTGAAGTGATCCCTTCTGGTTCCTATATAGATTAAACAGTGTTTTAAATGTTTAATCTAACGGTTTCACTTTTCGTACACTCCCAAAGCTCAGATCTGCACTGCTTGCTCTCCTTGGCATGTTCATTAGCGCTGCTCCAGGAGACAATCAATGCAATATTGTCCTTAATGCATCAGCCACATCACGATGGGCTTTATAATTCACAGGATCAAAAGAGAAGGAGATACCTGCTATTAATCAATGACAACTCCAGCTTGAACTTCTCTGACTGTAAATACCTCATCTAGCTCCTCTTTGGGGAAGATGCATTAAAAAAAAAATAAAAAAATCAGGATTTATCTGTTCATTTTATTAAGGGTATCACTCAGATTTACAAGGGGCTAAATCCTTGAGGTCTTCATTCAAAGCTAACTCTCTGGGAATTGTGCCTTGACCAGGAAATCAGAATTTGGCTGTAGCAACTAACAGTCTTCTGTCACCTCCAGGATACCCACCTCTGCTTGTACTTTCAGTACTGTACTTCTGGTGCTTTCAGTACAAACTGGTATTTTAATATTTAAATGAGTTTAAATATACCAGCCTGGCTTTGATTGCTACCACCAAGGGAATATGTGAGCGAGGTGAAGAGGAACACAGGTATTGTGCAAGGACATAGCAGATAGAGACAGCCAGAACCAGTCACTAAACACAGCAGCCAGGAATCCAGCATTTTAAATCCAAGGTTCAGTAAAGTAAATACTGGTTGGGGAGGGGGCAGGGAGAAGACACTAACTGAACTTCATGGAAAATCCAGGGGAAACAATTTCCATGCTCCCTTACACCGACTGAAGCACTCTTTAGCTAATGAGTAAAAAGCCTACGACAGCTAAAGGGTATGCACAGAAACACGCACAAGGCTCCAGGCGGGGAGACAATCTGTTCCCAAATCACATGAAAACTAAACAGAACTCTCAGAAGCTTCAGACATGGGCATGTTATTATTTTGGTCCTGGATCATCCCATTCCCACATTCCTCCTGTCAGCCAGATCCGATAAATACCCTTGCAATAGGAATAGGGTTTTTTGCAGACAAAATTACCTAGCGTGCATTTCCCAGAGTTTGGTGCCCATCCGTTGGTCCCACACGCAGACCAAGCCCTCTTCTCCTCCACTGACGATCTTCCAGTCATCCATCTGGACCGCAGACACTCCTAACTGGTGGGCATAGAGGGAGCACAAAGATTCGCTTTTGCGGAGATCGAATACCCTGACCCTAAACAAAAGCAAATCAAGAACAGAGATAAAACCAGCTGTGGAGCTGCAGCCTGTGGGTTCTGAGAACAAAAGTACTTTGGGGCTTATGAAAATATGTCTCGGACTGCAGTAGTCCCATGGCCACTAACATGGCCAGACATCCAATACGGCTGACACTTTTCACCACTGAATTTCCACTCTGACTTCTATTACCAAAGATTTTTTGTGGCAGACTTCTCCCACCTTACAGGACCTCTCTGTCTCTTTACAAGTCCCAGGCGACATAAAATATAAGTGAAATTTGGAGAAAGCTCCTCTATTTGTGCATCCCCAAATGTTTGCAATGCTGTGAGCCATAAAGCACCACTCATACTGCTAACACATCCCACCCCTCGGTACCAAACCCACGGCTAACATGAGGATCAAGGAAAGGATTATCATTACAAAGATTTAGGAAGAGACTAAATGTGTGGCCATTCAAAAGACAAGTCAAGGGAATTATAGGTTTATACGCTTGAGTTAATCACCAATATTGAAACAAAGCTATCCACAAGCACCCAACAACCAGTATCTCTTCTGATTTCAAAACCAGAACTACTGACTGCAGGCAGCATTTGGGTACATTTGGTTTTCAGAAATTACTGATCACTCAGACAAGGCATTTTGAAGACAAACCTATCGAAGGCTCTGCTAGAAGCAGAACTGTAGAGAAAAAGCTTTTCAACCACTGCAACAAGTCCACAAAACCAGTTAAAGTGAATGTTGTTGAATTTTAAACCCAGCACATATCATAAAGGAGTATGTTTTTTGATCCTTATATATCCAGATTAAGGGATAAAGCAAAGTACATAAGTGAATAAAAAAAAAAAAATGCAGTGAGTGAAAACAGAAGTAAAGGGGAAATACTGATCTCAGATTTGAAAAGAAGCCAGAGAAAGTTCCTCCCAGCTGATGGCTATCAAGAATGAAAGCATCGGGTACACATTAATTTCAGAAAAGGCCAAAACACACTTGTTCCAACACATTAACTGTACTTTATTCCATACCCCTGCTATGATCCTAATGATGTTGCGAGTCTTTCCTTTTCCTTTCTCAAATGGAGATTGCATCATATGATTTTACAAATAACACATTTCAGCAACTGAAATAAGAGGCAATAGAACAGTCCAAAACTCCAGCAGAGCAACATCCCTCTGACACGCAGATGAACACGCTGGAACAGAGCAAGGAGCACGCATTGTGTGGCGCCGCAGTCACCCTTAGGAAAACCCCATCACAACAGTTGCTGATGGCAAAAAGGCCTTCTTGCTTTCTCCAACTCCAGCAGAGAGAAGCTTTGGCTACGTATTAGAGCTACGCTTCGGTTTAGGATGGGTATTTTGGAAGCGTTCACACCCAGTGCTCTCCCTGTCTTACTGCATGTGTTCTGCGCGGCAATCAAAGCTTCTTCTGTTTGGTAAGCACAGTTGGAAACGAAGATCTGATGGCGCCCCGGTTATTTCATTAGCAAGGGCCCAGGTTTCAGGCAGGTGTCCATTCTGGCACACCCTTGGAAGAATTAGAGGCACACTTTTGTGTAGATGTGCTTTATTAAAAAAAAAAAAAAAAAAAAAAAAAAAAAAGGAAAAGCATTTTGCACCTCCAATGTGATGCTCTAATGCAGACCTGGCATGGTCCTCCCTCTCCTGCCTCGGCAGCTGGGCTCAGTGGGAGCACATCAGATCCGTCCAAGTTCAAGGGAGCTGTAAGGAAGGTGTTCTCATGACCAGGCTTTGACTCTCCTGTTAGACTACCTTAGCTAGCTTGCCTTTAGGAGAGCATGGAGTACATGCTTTGACCCACACTTTTCAGCAATGTTTGCTTTCCCAAAGCTATTCACCATCGTGGGTTCCACCAAGAAAAAGGCTGCTGTTGTGCAGTGGATCACACACACTCCCTCTTATCAGATCTCTGGCCAGTGTGTAGCACAGCTAAGTAATCAAATACATCAGCAATGCTTCAGGAGTATTTTTTGATGGAAAGAGATTTTTAGAGGCCCTACCAAAACCATTTCACTTCAACAGGGTGGTCTATCTTACTTTTCAAAATCATGGCTTTGAATAAAAGAATAGCATATACTAGTAACATTGTGAAAGCGCTATCTTTAATTCCAGCAATCCATTTCCCCACTGGCCATCAGCAGTTTGAACTCATGCGTCAAGGTCCCTACATAGTACGCTTGCTCTGTAACAGAGCCATGGAGGTTCAAGCCACGTCCCGCCTGTGGATGCCCAGTGCCTATTAATCCCCTTCCCCCAGCACCACATGAGGAACTGACCTCTGAGATACACACAGTCTTGTCTCCTGGATGCCAAACTTATTTGCTGAACTATTGATTCCGTCTTGCTATTTTAATGATGGCCAACCCCTGACCTCAGTCAATGCCTGAGCTGAAAAACTGAAAAGCTTTCTGGAGGGGAAAGGGCGCAGACATTTATTCTAGTACGAGGGGAGTAAATTTCAATCTCACTTAAGGGATATCAACTTTATCTACTCTCCCATCATTGTGCAAGAGATCAGAACTGGAGGTAGTTTTACTGGGGTGTTTTGGAAAATCAATTATCTGCTTTTAGAGGGAAAAAAACTCCCAAGGATTCAATTACACGTGTCAAACTTCAGATATTTCCTTTATCCTCTTTGCTGAGGAAGTGTGAGGTTTGCTTGCACTGCCTATTCACTGAGAAGGGAAAAAAAAAAAGCTGTTTGACAAAACAATCATTTTTGCAAGCTGCTGCGCTGGCGGGACAGAGGTCTGGGATTTGGCAAAGGGAAGTATCCGCCTTACAATCTGATACCCACCACCACACCAGACCACCACCTGCAGCCTGATGCCCAGTGCAGAAAGGAGGAGGGAAGGAACAGGGAGCCATTAGACACTGGCTCCTCGCCATCCCACATCTCCTTTGGTGCACTGGATCAGACCCCACAAATAACTAGCCAAAAAAAGAAAATCTAAAAATTGGACTCAAAGGGTCCTTTTAAGCACTTTAATCCTTTCGCACTGACTGTTCCCAGCGCGTCCATTCCTGGCACCAGATATTGTGCTGGGAAAATCCTACTCCCCAAGCCAAGGAGTTAAAGAGAAAGCTGCTAATCAGCTAAATAGAAGCTGGAATCTGTTCATATGAAAGTCTCTTTTTTTTGTCACCTGAGGGACATCACAGTGTTCCGAAATACACTCTTGACATCATTTGGCAGACGGACCCATCTCATCCTACATGATTCATCCCTTAGGTTATTTTTTTAATATCAGAAAGTGAGCTTTTAAATGCCAAACTAATTTTGCGGGTGGTGGTGGGGAAGTGGAAGATATTCCAAGTGGTCTCGCTGGGCTGTACACCAACTGCGTCCACCAAATGGCTTAAAAAGAAAGTCTTCCCATGGAGCTTTCTGAAACAAAGCAAACTGGCAGCCACATCCAACTATTACCTAATATTTTGTTCCTGAAGTTCACGCAGGCTGCATTTGAAACATTAGAGGAGAAACGAATTCTAGCAGGTCCAGATGTAGGACAGCAGGACAGGAAGGAAGCTAATTTGAGACGGTAGTACTTGGTAGTACTTGGTAGTACCTACCTTCTGTCCTTATTGCCCGTAACGAGCATGTTTGGAGGGCTGTTCTGGAGGTTGACACACGTAAAGTCACCTATCGAGTTGCCCATCTTCTTTAGACACTGACTTGTTTCCAGATTGTAAAGAAGAATCTGGCAGAGAAAAAATAAACACCGGCTAAATGTAGCACGAGCACAACTATGTTTTGCTGCAGCATGAAGTAGAGCGGAGTTATTACCATCAGAGATGGTTTGCAGGACTCGTTTCTCAATATACTAATACATAACCAAGACATAGATCTATCCCTATTAAGAAGGGCAATGATACCCTCAGAAATAAGGAAATCAAGTTTCACAACGGAATCCACCAAGAAGCAGGGATGCCAGGCCAGACTCTTGCCAACCAGTATCGGGCAGCTACGGCTCTTGGGCAGGCAAAGCAAGCCATACATATTTTCTCCAGGATGAATTTTTATGGCTTACATGGAAAAGCAAATTATTTTTTTCCCCTCAATTTTAATACTTGAAAGAGTAGTAAAAGTAAACAGAATCAACATTTCGAAGGCTTAGACAGATGGACTGTGCAAGAAAGATTCAATCACATACAGCAAAAAATTGCAGAGCAGAACTGAACACTGACTCAGCGCTGACAGGCCCTGCTGATAGCTTTTGTACAGATCATGCGGCAGGAACAGATTAAGAGAAATATTACATCTGAGTGGCAGTTCAGATGGGAAAGGAATAACAACAACTCTGATTTTAAGCAACATCCAAGATGATTCGACCAGAGACTGGAAGAGAGGTATGACTTGCTTCCCGTCTGCTCGCCCTCCTCTCCTTTGCGCAGCAATCAGTTTAATCACGTTCGCTGTCTTTCCTGTGGGGCCAGATGAGATTTATCTATGTGGGCCTTTCAATTTAGGAGAGCAAGTATTTTTAGAAACAGAAAAATGTTCTGGTCAAAGCCCAGTGGAGCTCAGCCCAGTACCTGGTCTTACACAACTCGATAAACATTATTAAATTTCATGGTGATGCTCCTCTAATTTAAAAGAAACTTATGACCATGAAAAGAGTAATGGTAGTTGAACCATCAGAAGAAACCTTATGGCTTCTATAGCAACACCAGCATGACTATGTCAACGTCACACTAATATTCTTAACTTCTACTTTTCTGATTATATCCACGTGCAGCGTAATAAATATTACACTATCTGTACATATTATTTCAACATTTGCCAGAACAGCGACAGCGATGCTGCCTGGCCTTTTACTTCCTATCTGTGCAATTTTAGTAAGCATCTGAAAGGTTGAATCTAAGAGAGCAGGAAGGGATCATTTTGTTGCCTCTAGGCAACAAAAGCGAAGCTTTAAAAATCTCTAGGAATACTGCAGTGAATTTGCAGGTCGCCTCCACCTGCCGTTTCTCCCAACTAAAGAGCAGGCATGGTTTTATTCAGACATATTATCAGCTCCCTATCAGAATCAACACATTCATAGCTGACTTCCTCAGTTTCTTATAATATTTATAATCTCTCAACTTCACAAATATATCTTTATAATATACATATTTATATTTATAACATGTCCAACTCTTGCCTCAAATACCAGTCTTTAGCATGTCATTTTTCATCCTTAAGACCCCCAAAACCAAAGCAATTTTACCCAAGCTCTGTAAAGCAAGGAAGACTCTACCTTTGCAAAGAGACTTTAGGACAGAAAAGTTGCTAAAAAATTAATTCAAACTTCCATACCCACAAAAGAGTTGCTATAAACTGCATGAAAATGTTGGTCTTTAAGGTAAAGACCAATTTATAGCTTGTTCTCACTTCCAACAGCTCGCTAACCAAACCCAGAGATAATGACACTCTGGCAAAGGTTCTTTGCACGGTTTTCAGTGCAAAGGGAATTAATATTTGTGCCTTGCAACCAAATTTCTCCTTGGAAAGTTTTGAACAAAAGAAAAAGTCAATAAACTGCTGAATTCACCTTAGGAGCAATAAATGATCAGGTCAAGAGCAACGTATTCCGGCTCCCAGTTGAGCCTCGGCACCAGCCCTTCCCAGCCGTACGTTAAAACTCTGGAGAGGAGAGGGCCAAATGCTGCTTTCTCAGAAGTCCCCTGGGGCTAATACTTAAAGAGAACATCCATAAACTATTAATTTACCTAAATGACCAGAGCTCCCATCCATCCTATAAACATATGATACATACTTGAAAATTCAGTTATGGACCTGGAAGACTAAAATGAAAAATTGCTCCCACATAGCATTTAAAGATTCCCCTGTTTTACACTGGAGCAAATATTACATACTCTTCTGCTTGCAGTCTCAATTTTAGACCCGTGGCAATACTCATATGTAGGTTGCACCAGATGAAAATTTATTTATTTCCTCCTCACATAACTTGTGAGGCCACCAATTTAAAATCTTTGCATCTAAGAGAGAGAATCTGTAAAAAAAAAAAAAAAAAGTTCAGATCCATAAAATTGGAAGACAACCTTTTGTCTTATCATCCTCTCCTACCCCCTCCAGTTCCTCCTCTTCTCGCATCAGTTGCCATTCTTCTAACGACTGTTGGGTTTGGGTTTTTTTTAATTTCATAATGCACATGTGTATTTGTAGCCAATTAGCCCTATCATTGGAAGAAAGATTCTCTTTGTGATTTTCCGTATCCAGGTTTTATTATCTTTAAATTCAACTTCTGTCTTGCGCAATTTTATGGTCTGCAAATGAATTTCAAAACCTTATCCTGACAAACTGATACGGAAAGAAACAAAAAGAACTCAGAATGCTTTTTGAAGTCTGAATAATAATTTCTTGAAGACAGGGGCTTTAAAAGCATACTGATGACAATTTTGAAGTTGTTAGAACAGTTCTGATGAGCTCTCCTATAATATCCCAAGGCAACAAGGATTTTCTTTACAAAGGCCAAGGAGAGAGAATGAAAATACCTGGTCAATAGGGACTTGAAATAAGGGCCTGTATGTTAAAGGGCAGATAAAGCGTAAGAACTTGAGGAGGTTTATAATCCTATAATGCACACTGCAAAGGGATTACCCTTTTAAAGATATTTATAATCCTATAATGGACACCCAAGACCAGTGACCTAATAGGTACCGAACTGAAGGTAAGTGAACCAAGAGCATTTGGGTGTGAAATGAAGTACCCTGGGATAACACACTAACGAGCATCCCTTCCCCCAGTGGGACTTTGGGGACACGAGGGAGGTAAAGCATTAAATACTCTCTGCAGATGTAGCCGGACCTAACGCACAAAATAAAAAGTGTTACCTATTAACATTGTTCAAATGAAAAAGTCTAAGTTATTGGCTAAGAGCCAAGCAATCTCCCAGAATGCTTAATAATTCAAGAAGCCAGAAATAGCCAGAGTACCTTTACCATTATGTTTAGTTAAAGACCACAGAGATTAGAAAACACATTATCCATCTCAGAGGCGATTCTTTCCATGTTACAAGTCCCTTAATGACCTTTACCATCTCTCCCTCTCTCTCTCTCTCTTTTAATAAGGCTGAGCAAATGGGACTTCATTTTATCCGATTGCCACAGACTAGTGGTATTAATTATTCATGCTCATACTCTCTCTTTTGTTAAGGCAGTGCATTAGACTAATTTCCCTCTTTACTGTGCGAGTTGGGCAAGTCTCAACCTGTGGCCACCGTTCTCAGATAGGTGCACCGAGAAGCTGGCAAATTCCCGAGACCAGGCAGAGGAAGAAAGGAAAAGTTACTGTACTTCCCGAAACTGCAGAGCAGTGGGTACGGGGAACTCTCTAAATGCTGTCCAAGAACTCAAGAAAGAAGACGAAGTTAATTCACAAAGCATTAAAGTCTCTGTAGCCAGAATAGCTAAGCTGTGAGCTTTGTTACTTCTTGCAGCTAAGTGAGGTCAAGCATGGCTGATGTCCTCTGGTTGAGATACTTCCAAGAAAAACCAAAGAATTGAAGGAAATGCTGTTGATGGAACTCTTCCATGCATGTCCAATACCCCAGCAGGTGTTTTGGGATCCTGTGTTGTTGGAGATGTCTTTTTTGGATGGAACATTAAAACAACAAATCCCCAAGCACTTGTTATCAAAGAGCCTGTGGTACTTTCAACAAGAGCAGGGGTGTTCAACCCACCGTCCTGGCCGAAAGCCAGCAGACAACTGCTTTGTGAAATAGCTGGTTTCCCTCTGCAATCGCATTTCTGCTTCTTGTCAGAAGTTACCACATCACACGGTTAGCTGTCTCAGAACTGGGTGACGCTCTCTGTATATACAGTACATTTAGTTCTTTAGATGAAGCATTGAACAGAGTATCATAAATATTATTGAAAAGTATACTGCAAGACCACACTCAAAACCTACATCCTTTTCCTTACTGAATAATATACAGGACACATTAAAGAACCACTTTCTCAGAAAGAACCATCAGGATAGAGGTTTCTAACTGTGATTTTAAAGACAGAGGATCAAAATATAAAAAAAAATACCCAAAACAAAACTGAGTTGCTCAAAGAGGCAGAGGAACAAGCAGCAAGACTGGGAACAGAATTTGCATTTATTTGCAGATTATGTTTCTCCCTCTTTCCTTCTGCCCATCCCTCTGCCAACCAGAAAAAAAACCATTGCCTGAATACCCACAAATATTGCCAACAAAAGAAAGGGTCCTGAATAATATACCATGAATAAAAAGGGATCTGTTTTTTGCTCAGGTCAAACACATTCAATTCAAAGGGTATCTACCAAAGTGATAAGGCTATTCCATATGCATTTGCAGCAGAAGTCATCAAATTAAGTACAACATATGGTATGTACTGCTGCAAGTTTGAATTTTATTTCTAAAGGGATGTGGAAAAAGAGTATTTTCAAAGTTTACAAGCCTCGGGGGCACAGTTTCCTAGTGCAAATGTATTGAATTGCCTACTGTAAATATGGCACATAACACTGCAACAACAACAAAAAAAATCTTACTATTAACAAATGCAAGGTCAGCATATTGATACTTGTACACAGAGGTAAGTGTTCTGGCTCCATAAATTTAAAGATGAGCTAAGATTTAAAAGGAGCAGACAGACAATCAGAGAGAAAGAAAAAGAGTAAATCATACACCTTGTGCCTATCCCTCTGCCAACCAGAAAAAAACCATTGCCTGAA